CAGTACAGCTCTCGATACTGGAATATACTGTACTGGCAGCACGGCGCTCGGTACTGTACTGTACTGGACGTTTTAGTACAGCTTTCAATACTGGAATAAAAATACTGCAATCTCCAGTACAGCTCTCGATACTGGAATATACTGTACTGGCAGCACGGCTCTCGGTACTGTACTGTACTGGACGTTTTAGTACGCAGTTAAATACTGGAATAAAAATACTGTACTGTACTAAACCTGCCCGTGATTTTATACTATTTATAGTCCTATTGTTTATTTTTGATCGGTTTCCGAGGGATCTTTTCTCGAACGATCGGTGCGGTAGCTGTTCTTTCCTCCTATCATTTGTTTTCTTTTTCCGAGTGGTTTGTACCCTATTTTTGTTTTGTTTCCCTGCGGCGTCGTATGTGCCGGGTTTTGAGACCACGGGCTCCCCATTTTTGGTGGACTAGTCTATAGAGTTAATCTAGAGCTAATGTGAGAAACAACAACAATAAACATCCAATGATCGAAAACTTCTTCTGTCTGCCTTCATGCACCTAGTCTAGACCATCTAATCTAGGATCGTCTACAGTACGAGAGACGCAACAAGAGAGAGGGGAAAGCGGAAACGAGAGAGAGAGAGATCGAGGGAGGGAAACCGAGGGGAGGGAGGGGAGAAGAAGAAACTACTGCTTAACGCTGAACGTATAGACTACACAGCGGCCACCGAGGCAACCAACCAGCAGACACCCGACAACAACCTGCTCGTGTTATCTACTTCTTTTTCGTCGGATCGTCGAGTTTTTCCGAGCGGTCTTGGCTTGTTGAGCACGCAGAGCGCGAGCGCTCCGAGGCCTTCTCGTGCCGGTCGCAGCAAAACCCTCCGAAGCAGAGTCACCCCCAAGACTACCAACGCTACCATTGCTGCTGCCCCCCCCGACACTGCCGCCGCCGCTGTTCCGCGAGGACTCCCGATATCGAGTCTGCTGGGAAGGGTCGTGAGTCGTGGTCGTCTCGAGCATCTTTTCCCTCGCTGCGAGCATGTTGTCGATGGTCTCCCGACTGTCGATCCCGACCTCTCCCACGGAAGCACCGACGCTGTGGAGGGTAAAGTTGACTTTGAGCAGGTCTTCCAGTGCGAAGCCCACGTCCTGGTCAAGCCTGACAGACAGAAAAGCCCGTTTTAGTCTCCGACGACGGAGACGGGTCGGTATCTAAAACGTTTCATATGGTTGCAATTTCACATTACTACAGGTCCTTCGTAGTCCAATGGTTAGGATATGCCGCTCTCACCGGCAAGACCCGGGTTCAATTCCCGGCGAGGGAGAAGTAACTTTTTTTGGCATATTTTTTCCATTTTTCTGGCTCAAGCCAACTAACTTTTTGGGGTTTCCTCATTGGTCAGCGCATGCACAACCGTAACGTTGCACGACACGTTGCACCGCACGTTATCTTTGTCACGTTATTTTACCGTTTTTAAAATTGAGGCCACCGAAAATATTCATATGCAGAAACTTTGCTTTCTTCAAAGAGGAGAGGAAAAAGATGGGATGGATGTGTATGTTGTTTGGTTTGCGAAATCAGACATCCTCATTTCCTGCTCCCACGTTGTCTGCCTGCCCCCCCTCCGAAAGACTCTCACACCCAACCAGTGACAAAAGTCATTTGTTGCATCACATAGAAAAAATATATACTTCAGGAGCGCTTTTCATATTATTCTTTTTTTGTTTTTGAAGGACAACTTAACAACTTCATGACCCTCGTTTCTTCCTCACAGGCGAAAGTGAAAACAGCATATTTTACACCGCCAATATTGAGTCTAAACGTTGTTCTCATGGGGTGTGGAATAACACAAAAATGTTATGCACAAAAAAATCATCCGTAAGTATACTCTGTACATGATGTACTGCTGTTTCTCTTGGTCCTTACCTGTTGTTCTCGAGGTTGATTTCCACCAAGCTGTTATTCCGTTGCAACGCCTCGGCTATCGCCACACCTCCCGATGGTCCCAGTGTGTTCCCTTCCATGTTCAGCCTCGTCAGAGTCTTGTTCTTCACGAGGGCGGCCGCAAACTTGCCGCCCACGTCCGCTAACATGCCGGCCTCGCCAAGCATGTTATTCCCCACATCCAGCCATGTGAGGTGCGAATTAAGCGCCAACCCCGCGGCGAGGTCCAGGCCACCTCGCCACCCCACGCGGTTGTTGTTGAGGTTGAGGTGGTCCATCTGGCGGTCCCGCCGGAGCTTGCGCCCAAAGGTGGAGGCCGCCTGGTCGTCTAGAAGGTTGTTCTCAAGGCTGACGTTGGCCAGGCACCGATTCCTGCGGATGGACGCCGTGAGTGTCGACCCACACTCCGCACTGAGGCCGTTCGTGCCCAGGTCCAGGAAGCGCAGGGTCTGATTGAGGGACAGCGCGGAGTTTATGGACGTCGTACCATACTCTTCCAGCTTGTCAGCCTCGGTGCCAAAGAGGTCCCCCGCACCGTTGTCGCTGATGTCCAGGTTCAGCAGCGACGCGTTCCGCCGCAACGCCCAGAACACCTGATGGGCGGGCGGACGGAGGTGCAACGGTAGTTCGGCAATATGGACGGGCGTGGAGGGGGCG